AGGCAGAGGTTGCAGTGAGCCAAGATCGCACCATTGCACTCAAGCCTGGGCAACAAGAGCGAGATTCCATCTAAAAACAAAAACAAAAACAAAAGAGAAAAAAAGTCAGTCTTATAGGTCTGGAGTAGATAGACGCACTTCTACTGCACTCCGCGGTCTCAGATAAATGCCTGGTTTTTCAGTGAGGTCTCTGTGTGCTGCTTGGTATTCCTGCAAGAACTTAAGGAGAAAGCTATGTACATTTCCATGGCTGCTTCTCAGCACCACTTCTTCCTGTACTTTTCCCTTCCTGTACATGCAGCCTGCCTGCCAGCCTTGAACTCTGATTTCTGACTACCCGTCTCAGTGAGATCGCTCTTCTCTGCGTGGACAACACATCTCCGCATTATTTCTAGAAAGTGCCTCCAGGCAAAAGGTTAGAGCTATCAGGAAGCTCACTTTATGTGTTTTCATTCTTTCAAGTATGACAGCCCTATAGTGCCTGTGTTTCATTTTTATGGTTGTTTATGGTGGAAATGTCATTCTGATGATAACAGTTACTCTGTAAGAGAAATGCAAGTTGTTCTTGATAATATTTTACTTTGCATTGTAGTTATTCTTGTATATGTCTTATCTTTTTTATGAGACCAGAAGCACCCTGAGGGCAGAGTCCATGCATTCTTTATCATTGTTTTTTCTCCAGAGCATTCTACGCAGCCTATGTGCTATTTATTATAATTATTTAATTTGATTAAATATTTAATAAGTAAATCTTTAGAATACATAAATAAAATCAATAAAACAAAGCACTTTATGAACTTTAGGAATAATTTCAAAGGCTACAAAATCCATTACACAGACTAGCTTTCTTTGACTCATCAGTTATTTTGTTTTCTGCAGCAGTCACAAGAATACCTAAGTTCCTCATATTACCTTCTTCCCCTGCTGATTCACAAATTTATTATAATCAGAAAGCATGTGAAAAACTGAGAAACAGGAGAAAACAATCACTGACTGCCATTTGGTAATAGTAGTAATTATTAGGAGTCAATTCGAGCATTCCTTTTTATCTTTTGAGTTGCTTTGCTGGTTGTCATTCTCTATAGCTACTAAAAAGTCCAGCTAGAATTTATTTTCTTGGTCACACAGGCAAAGATAATGTTTGGAGTTCAGCGGTCAAAAAAACCCTAATGACTGCACTTATGTATGTATTTGTTTAACTTGTGGACAAAGACTTATGGATAGGTGCAAAAAATAAGTCCTCTTTTGCAACCTGGAACTCATTGTTCAGTGTGAGTTTTGATACATGTAAGAGGGGATATTATGATACCTGAGACAGTTAACTAATGGGAGTATTGATAACTAGAGAGGTTGGTTCCAGGCCAGGCTCAGTGACTCATGCTTTCAATCCTCACACTTTGGGAGACTGAGGTTGGAGGATTGCTTGAAGCCAAGAGTTCAAGACCAGCTTGGGCAAGAAAGTAACACCTTATCTCCACAAAAAATTAAAAATTAGCTGGATATAGGGGCATGTGCCTGTAGTTGCAGCTACTCAGGAAGGGGAGGCTGAGGCAGGAGGATTGACTCCAGGAGTTGGAGGCTGCACTGAGCTTTGATGGCACCACTTACTCCAGCCTGGGCAACAAAGACAGACCCTGACTCTTAATTTTAAAATGGTTGATTCTAGGACTGTAGAATAGATAGTTAAAAAGCATGGGATATGAGGGAAATCCTCAGCTGTATTAATTTTGCATTCCAATTTTATGTTGACTTGATACATAAGATGGCATTTGGTTTTAAAAGCTTTTATCTTGAGAATATGTTGTCTGGAGTTAAAGGTATCAGCATATTCCACACATCTGTACTATTCTTGAGTATGATCGCTTAGGGCATCAAATTGAGAACCAGGCAGATCCACCTATACTAAAAATGACCCTAAAGTAAGTTGGTTGAAGAAATTAGACGCCAAAGATTCTTGATTTTTCCATAGGTGACTTTTGAAGTCTTCATCAGTATACTCATGTAAAAAGGAGATGATAGAAACCAAAATAAAATAATTATTGGTTGACAGGACAACTGGATTAAAATAAGCATCAGTTTCATTAAAAAGGGCTAACTTGAGGATAAATCTTTTGAAGATAAATTTTGACATCCGTTCTTTAGAGGATCTAAAGTGACCTTGATGGAGAGTGAAAGAAATCACAACATGGAATTCCTCAAATAAAAATTTATTAACTTTAAATACTTTTGCCTAATGTTACACATACACAATTTAAAAAAACAAAAACAAAAACAAAAACAAAAACCTTTTACAGCGTAGAAAGACAAGAAGAAAAAAAGAAAAAGAAGAAAAAGAAAGAAAGAAAGAAAGAGAAACAAAGAAAGAAGAGAAACGTAAAAATGAAGAAAGGAAAGAAGAAAGAAAGAAAGAAAGTAAAGAAAGAAAAGAAAAAGAAAAGAAAAGAAGAAAAGAAGGGAGAAGGGAAAAGGTAGGGAGAGGAAGGGAAAGAAGAAGGAAGGAGAATAAAGGCCCGGGGGCGGGTGACGCTCACCTGTAAAATCCAGCAACTTTGGGGCAGGAGCCCACAGGTGGGAGTGCGGATCACAAGGTCAGAGATCGTGAACCATTTCCAGGCTACACCGAGTGGGAACCCTGTCTCTACTAGAAATACAAAAATATACCCGGGTGGTGGGTGGCGGGTGCCTGTAGTCCCAGCTAACCCGGGAGGCTGAGACCCCAGAGAAATGGTGTGAACCCTGTGAGATCGGAGGTTTGCAGTGAGCCGAGATCTTATGCCACCTCATATGTATGCTATTCTAGGCGATCAGACGCGAGACTCTGTTAATAAAAAAAAAAAAAAAAAAAACGAAAGGAGGAGTGAGGAGGAGAGGGAAGAAGGATGAAGTACAAGAAGGATAGGAAGGTAAGGAAGAAGAAAGAAAAGAAGGAAGGAAGGAAGGAAGGAAGGAAGGAAGGAAGGAAGGAAGGAAGGAAGGAAACCCTGATGAAGCCACACCTGTTTAGGGCACAAGAGGACACACGTGTTCCATGTAATAAGGGTCGAAGCAAGAGTCGGCCTCACATGAACACAGATATTTTCCTTTAAGCTAGAAGATGAACTTTATTTTCGTTTTTTAAGATTCTAGAGGTAATTTATAGATGAGAAGCTAGAAATAAAGGTTGTAGCATCATATGACATCATTTCTAGAAAACAACTGAGCTTGCCAGCAAGGAATTGCCCTAGTGATTTTTAAATGATTCCAGTTAATTGAGTTATTGAGACATTTTTTTCTCTGTGATTTTCTCCCTCATCTACTTGAGCATTTTGCTAATTCTCATACTTGAGTAATTCCTAAAGTCTCTCATGTAAACTTGGAGATCAAGATAATTCACATGTTCCCCAGCTTACCTGGATCCTCCAATTGGCTTCTTAGTCAACCCTTGTCGACTTCCCTGTAAATCCCACACAGAAATTGTCCTTTATACCTGATAACCTCCTGAATCCAAAAGCTACATTTTCCACTGCCTACCAAAATCTTTCACTGGATACCTGGAGAACATTTTCCTTTATGTGTCCATTGTGAACCAAACGAGAACAAACACCACATTGTCTTCTCTTTTGCCCTTTTTACCCATTCTGCAAACTACCCTATGTGACAGCTTTGTAGAACTGAAACTCAAAAATTGCTCTGACCCTTTTTCATCCTCTTTGCCCTCACAGCCTAGTCACTTTTCTAAAGATTCTCTGCTACATGTCCTGGATATCCATCCTGGACATCTGATGGATCCTGGTGTCTCTTCCTGTCACTAATCTTGCATGTGACTTCCATTTTGTAGGATTGATACTTTTTAACTTGGGTAATAATTATGTCATTTTCTGTTTTTAAAATTCCAATAAAAACTTCAGTGCATTTCTGTCATTAAATACAAGCACCTTAGTCCAACATTTAATGGTTTTCAGTGTTCTCCCTTAAAACACGGCTATCCCTTTTTCCTTTTTCTCCACTGTTTCTCCAATGTTTCTTGTGCTATAACCAAAGTGAACTCTAAGCAGGTTCCTAAATATCTGTTCAACTTTCCCAGCCCTGTGCCATGGTTACTGCTCTTCTGTGCACCAGACATGCTCTCCCTTTTCCTCCTTCCTTTTACATCAACCTGCTAACATCTCACCCAGTCTTTAAAACTGCCTATTTTTTCTAAAGTCTTTAGTGACAAGTACAGCTAGTTACACTTTTTCAGCCTTCTTTGAAATTCTGTGTTCCATTACTAGTACTTCTACAAGGATTCTTGTTCATTTAGACAAATATTTACTGATACTTTATATCGATTGCTGTGCTTTTATTATTTGTGTACTTTTATTGCGATTTTCTGAGCTTAGTTGATGATACCTTTATGAAGAAATGTATTAGGTTTTACTCATGTTTTAATGTCTGACTTATAGCTGTTATCACAGTAGATGTGGCACTGTAGTTATTGCAAGTCTTGTCTCTCAAGGATAAAACCTTATCTTGGGATCCTTCAAAATGGCAAGATGCTAATTCTTACCACATTCAATTGCATTGTCCACTGTGCCCTGCCATCATATTCACATTTCACTCAATACCCATGGTCTGCATCAATCTGGAATCATGCATTCTGCCATCTGTCCCTTTCCTTGAAAGTCCTGCTGACTGCAAAACAGCTGAGATTTATTAATGGGTTAATTTGTTACTTCTCCCCTAGTTCAAACTACTGGTATTTAACAGGAACTTGCCCTAGATAAGGGGTGACTCAACTCTAGAGAATTTCTGACTGGCTGGTGGACTGATAGGGGTGATATTTTGGGGCTGGAACAGTTTTCAATGCCTGGTAAGTGGCTGACAAGTTTATCTGTGTCTGAGAGATAACACAGGAGATTCCCGTAAACATGTGCCCATGCACTCACTCACAAATGTACCAGGGCCCTGCAATCCTGTGAACTCCAGGTTCCTAAGAACAGTGGTAAGGCTGACCTACCTTTGTTCCTCAGGGAGCCAATGAGGGCCCAGCCATTGTGTGAGTCTGGATTCCTAGGAGATCACGTTTTATTCCAAATCACATCCTCACTTTTGTCTTGGTCTGAATGGAAACATTAGGGGAAACACAGAGGAAAATCAGAAAGGAATTTCCAGCAACTAGTGGGAATATTAATATTTCAAGATCCCATCTCTACCTTTAATGGTAAGTTTACCTCTGTCTCTAGATTTTACTCCCCCTTTCCCTGGATGCATAATAACAACGGAGTATCTTTATAACAATAGAATATTTATCCATGAGTTGGGGGAATAATTGAACCCTCAATATTGTGCTATGAAAGACTGAGTACAGTCCTGCTCTAAAACCTGATGAAATCTACTCTTCCAAGAAAAACCAAAGGCAGGTTCTAATAAAACATCTTTTCACTAGTGCTTCTCTTTTTATAGATGTGGAGTGGTACTGATGGTGGTGTCTCATCCATTCTTCGTATTTCACATAAATGCACTGAATAAAACAATGCAGTTTTCTTTATTTCTCTACATATACAAATACACATGCAGACACTTATGTTTTGGCAATTAAAAATACATTATTTTTGATAATTTGGTGACAGAGGTCAGCAAGTTAACTTAGAAAATATAGAAAACTTTTCTTTTAGACCTGTTAAATAGCATTTTCTATGAAAATAACATTGCAGTAAATTGATATGCTAGGTAGGAAATGACAAGCATTCCTTTATAATAGGTCACTGCATATCTGATAGATATATCTGATGGGCTCACCTGGTTTTGCCATAGTCCTCAATCTTGGATCAGTTTTATTGACACTAAAAATTGTAAGGTTAATGAGTGATAGATAAAAAATTGTATGCCAATAATCACTTAGATGAATGATTTTTTATAAATATTTCAGAAACTTACTACAAGTCTACAATCATAACTAAATGTTTCACTGAGAACCAAGTACACAAAAATATATCACATGAAAAGGAATTAAGCTAGCATTTTAATTGAATAATATAAATAAATACCAAGATTTACAAAGAATACAGGCATCCATACACATCTAGTTTTCATGTTAGTATAGCTTTGAAAATATTAGGAAAAGGTTTAGCAAAGTTACCAGTCTTATCAATATAAAGACAGTTTGGATTTTTGTTGAAAACAAAATCAAATGAAACAGAATTTAAATTATAAAAGAATGCAAACACACACCTGCATGAGTAATTCCATGAGTATTTAGATTTCAATAGTTTTGTACATCTTGTGAACACAGATTCTTCATTTCCTCTCTTTCCACAAAAGATAACGTATAAACTAAAATGGGGGTAAAATATGAAAAATAAGAAGGAGATAAAGCAGAATCAAACAGATTATTTTTTTCATTCATTCATTCAACAGATATTTATTAAGTATCCACTATTTACCTGAAATTTCATGTTTTATTATTGCAGTACCTATCATAAATTCCAATAACAAAGACTTCTCGATTATTATTTCTTTTTAATTGAAGAAATGGTGATATGGTGTAGATCTGTGTCCCCACCAAATCTCATATTAAATTGTAATCCTCAATGTTGGAGGTGTGGCCTGATGAGAAGTGACTGGATCATAAGGGTGGATTTCTCACTAATGGTTTAGCACCATCCCCTTGGTGCTATCTTTTGCAATAGTGAGTTCTTGAGACATCTGGTGCTGAAAGTGTATGGCACCTCCCCTTTCACTCTTACTCCTGCTCTCACCATGTAAGATGCTTGCCCCTCATTTGCCTTCTGCCATGATTGGAATCTTCCTGAGGCCTCCCCACAAGCAGATGCTGTCATGCTTCCTGTACACCCTGTAGAACTGTGTGCCAAGGAAACCTCCTTTCTTTTAAATTACCCAGTCTCAGGTGTTTCTTTATAGCAGTGCAAGAATGACCTAACACAGAAAATTGGTACTGAGAAGTGGGGTATTGCTATAAAGATACCTGAAAATGGCGCACCGAGTGGCTCACACCTTTCGCACTTTGGAGGCTGACGGCCGGCGATCATAGAACTCAGGAGATCGAGACCATCTGGCTACACTGCCGCTGCAAACGCCGTCTCTACTAATGCTTTAAAAAAAAACAAATTGTAGGCGTGATGGCAGGCTCCTGCTAGTCCCCAGCTCTACTCGGGGTGAGGCCTGAAAGCAGCGAAGCACCCGCCGGGGAAACACTCCCGTAAAGGTGGACCTGCAGCTGCGGAGCCCCGCGATCACACCACTGCCACCTCCCCAGCCGGGTTGATAGACCTCTCTCCAAAAAAGGAAGAAAGAAAGAAGGAAGGAAAGGGCGAGGGGAGGAAACCAAGAAGAAAAGGCAAAGAAACAAAAATAAAGAAAAGACACGAAAAGAAGAAAGAAAAGAAAGAAAAGAAGAGACAAAGAAAGAAACAAAAAAGAAAGGAAGCCCGAGAAAGAGAAACACAAGAAAGAAAGAAGAACAGAAAGGACAGGAAGAAGAGAAAAAAGAAGAAAAAAAGAAAAGAAAGACAGAAAAGAAAATGCAAAGAACGAACAGGAAAGAAGGAAATAACTGAAAAATAGCATTTCCCCGGCCCCTGGTGCGGTGGCCCTCAAGCCCCTGGTAATCCCCAGCCACTTTGCGAAGCGCCGAGGTGGGGGTGCATCACCCAGTCAGAAGTCTCCAAGAAACCAGACTGGGCCCCACAAAGGGTGAACCCCGTCCCCCCTACCTAAGGTAAAATCACACAAAAAATTATCTAGGTGGGTATGCGGGCCACAACCTGCTAAGTCCCAGGCTACTCCGGGAAGGCCCTCCTAAAGGCCAGTGGAAAAGCCATCCGCTTGAACCCGCCCGGGAGGCGAAGAGGTTGCAAAAGCGAGCCAAGGATTGCCACTTATTGGGTGCCTCCAAGCCCTTGGACAACCAAGAGCAAAAACTTCCGTCCCAGGAAAAAAAAAAAAAAAAAAGGGCCCCAGCCGTGCGGTGGTCCCCACACCTAATGAACCCAAAAGCCACGTCTTGGCGCGAGCGCAGGCAGAATTCCTCACCGAGTCCAACAACCACTCGAGAAAACCAGCCCCGAAACAACCAATGGTGGAATTCCCGTTCCTTTACTACAAATACCAAAAAATCTATCCCTGGGGTTGTGGGGGGCGGGCAAAATGGCCGTTAAATAATCCCCCCCAACCAACCTCCGGGAAGGCGTCCTGAGGCAGCGATAATTGGTTTTGAACCCAGGATGGATTTTTGTGCGCCAAGTGGGAGGCCCTGAAAGATTCAATGGCGCCACTGCCACTCCAGCCTGATGCTGCGCGAGCAAGAACGTCCGGTCCTCAAAAACAAAATACAAAAGAAAATAATGGTTTTTCCGGTGTCACAATGGACCCCGTAGGGGGAACGGGGAAACATCACACACCTGGGGGGCCTGGCTTTGCCGGGGGATGGGGCTTTATGGGAGGCGGAAAATGCCAAATTAGCGAAAAAGAAAAATACTTAAGTAAGATGGAACCGGGTGTTGGATGGTTTGTAGCAAACCAAACCGCCACATGGCAAATAGCCCCATACTCCTAAATGTATACAAACCTGCCACGTCTGCACAATGTTAAAAAAAATCTCTCCCAGAACTTTTAAGTAAATTTAAAAAAAAAAAAAATTTAAAGAAAGAAAATAATGTGTTGGCCTTGAACAACAGTCTAATGAATTTTGATTTGTTCAACAGCAGTAACAAATTAAGCTTATTTAAGAAAGATCAGTGTCACAAAAACTTGCAAGTTAGGTGTAAGAAGGAACATCTTCGAGCTTTACATTGCCTTACAGGGTATTTCAGAATATATGTGCTCACTGGCATAGTAATAACTTGTTTGGTGAAAAGTAAAAAGTTAAAAAATACTCGGTTTGACAAAGTTGGACAGATTTCTTAACTGCAGAACATTCTAGAACCTTAAGTTTTCAAATACACATTTTCACTTCTCCAATAAGGAAAAGTGTATGCACTGTTTTTATATTTGTTTGATCATGGGACACAGGAACACAATTTGTGAAATGCTAGTCTAGGTTTTCATTGAAACTTTAAGATTACAAGGATCTTACGGGTATATATCCACCTATTGACCATTAACTCAACTCTGAGGTATCAATGCCAGATGTTCCTATGACCCTAATGGCAACTATTTGGTTTCTCCCAACACAGCCCTGTCCATCTTTACAAAGATCTGATATTAGGTTGTTCTGTGTGTAATCTTCTCCAATTATAAATCATAGTTCTAGTTCTACGTTTATATATATATATATATACTTTGAGACTGAGTCTCACTCTGTCGCCAGGCTGGAGTGCAATGGCGTGATCTTGGCTCACTGCAACTTCCGCCTCCCAGGTTCAAGCAATTCTCTGCCTCAGCATCCCGAGTAGCTGAGATTACAGGTGACTGCCACCACACCTGGCTATTTTTTTTTTTTTTTTTTTGTATTTTTAGTAGAGACGGGTTTTCAGCATCTTGGCCAGGCTGGTCTTGAACTCCTGACCTCATGATCCACCCACCTCGGCCTCCCAAAGTGCTGGGATTACAGGCATGAGCCACTGTGTGTGGCCCTATTAATATGTATATTTTTAAAGTCTTTGGTATCATATTATTGAATTCATTTAATTCAGACTTCAGTTAAATAATTCTTATCAAAATGGTTGTCAGTAATAAGCTTTGGCCAAATAAATGAGTAGTAGTTGTGACCCTGAAAATTTGAGACAAGTCTCAGTTAGTTTAGAAAGTTTATTCTGCCAAGGTTGAGGACACACCGTGACAGCCTCAGGAAGTCCTGAAGACATGTGCAAAGGTAGTTAGGGCACAGCTAACTCTCTAAGTATTATACACTTAGAGAGACTTGAGACATCAATCAATACATGTAAGAAGTACATTTGTTCGGTCTGTAAAGGCGGGACTTCTTGAAGCAAAGGCAGTAAGACTCCAAATGAAGCTGGGAGGCAGCTTCCAGGTCACAGATAGATGAGACACAAATGGTTACATTCTTTTGAGTTTCTGATTAGCCTTTCCAAAGGAGGCAGTCAGATATGCATCTATCTCAGTGAGCACACAGATGACTTTGAATAGAAATGGGAAGTAGGTTTGCCCTAAGCGGTTCCAGGCTTGAGTTTTCCTTAGTGATTTTGGGGACAAGATATTTTCCTTTCACATAGCCTATTGGTCCGAACATACAGAGTGAACAGAAGTTCTCGGACTCTCTGCCATAAAAATGAAGTGGGAACTTCTCTTTTGCATTTGTATCATTACATATGTAGACACAGCCAGCAAGTTTCTTTCTAATGACTGCTGAAAAATTGAGCACCTCCCATTCCCAGATTTAAGGGGTCATGAAGGATACTCTGATTTAGCAATAATTTTATCCCTAAAATAGACTTGTCACATGGCATCCAACTGTCGTTGGGCAAAATAGGTCATGGAGCAACGACTCCTTTAGCTGTTTTTGAGGTGGACTGTGGGATGCGGGTGTCACTCGCTGCAGGGCTCTGCCTTTGTATTCACATTTCTGGCCCCACAGGAGTTTCATAGATAACCTGATTTCACCTCTTTTTTCTCAGAGAGGTAGAATAATTACCCACTCTGTGCACCTGAAGTTTCATTTCTGTTTAAGAATATGTCTTTGACACACAGAACACAGACAAACTGGGATGGAATTAGGCAATATCAGAAAGAGAATAATATGTAGCCACAGAAAAATAAACATTAACTTCATAAACTATGGCACTTTTTGATAACAATATTTTCAATTATCAGTGCATAATTTTCATTGAGATCGCAGTTACCATCTAAAATCCAGATAAGTGTTTTGTCATGTGGTGAGCACAGTTTGTAAAAAGATTTATTTTGTAACCAAGGGGGTTTATATACATATAGAGAGAGTGACAGAGCCATATATTTCATTTTAATAAGAGTGACGATAAAACACATATCTGGCAATTGCTTATCTTGAAATAGTCATCTAAGTAAAAATATTTAACAGCAATTTTTTGTTTGTGATATTTATATAATTCATGTTGCATAATTTTATATATTATACATTGTTATACTTTATGTACTAAATATAATGTAATATATTGATGGAGATACTAAATATAATGTAATATATTGATGGCTTTATTTCTATAGGGATGAGAGAAATCTAAAATTGAGTCAATCTATTTGTGTGAATGCATTAAATACTAAGGCAAATTTAAAGGGTAAAATAACAAAACATTGAATCTTCTAAAAAAGTTATTAAAAGTTTGCAAATGCGGGAATGCATATTAATGATTTTGTTTATTGGGATCTGAGCTATGTTCATTTATTATCAAATACTACTGCTTTTCTAAAAATAAAAAACTTTTTATAGTCAGCATAAAAGCAGAAATAAGTCAATTACTATAATGATGGAAATAGCTGGAAATGCAATGTACAATTTCATATTAAATCAAATTCAGAGTGTTTCTTGGCCTGGTTTGCTAATGCTTTCCGCAACCATAAAATTTGGCTGCAACAGGGCAATAGAATACTGGTGAGAAAATACTGGGTACCACTTTTTTAAAAGCAGAAAGGAAGAAGTCAAAGGAGTAAAAACCAATGCGTGCAAAGCAGCACATGTCCTCTAACAACTGAAGAAGCACAGCCATTTTGGATTAGAACCACGGTGTGTGGAAAGGAGTTTGTCATTTGTGTTCACATCCTCAGGGGCTGAAAGGTATCACCTGGCAAGTGTCCCGCCCGCCCGGGCGGGCAGAGGCGATGCTGCCTCTTTGCTGGCTGTGTGCCCACATCCACAGCCTGTTTCTGCTTCCCCTCCATGTTAGAGGGGATGGTTCCAGGAGGCCGCATGGCACATGTTAAAGCAAAACAAAACGAATGCCCTGCTCTTCTTCATGCAGCTCCCATATTCACTATGACAACCCAGAATTCCTCACCCTAAGGATGGTGCAGGAGACTCGGGTTCTGGCCGGTCTTCTCTCCCCAGCAGCTCCTCCCTTCTCCGGCCTCTCTCTTGGCTGACGGAGTGATGGTTTCCTTCCATGAGAGACTCTGAGAAGAACGTGACTTTAAAATATTAGGTTTGTTTTTCCTCCTGTTCTCCTTGGATTTCTTTTCTTTCCTTTTTTTTTTTTTTTTCAAGACGGAGTCTCCCTCTGTAGCCCTGCCTGGAATGCAATGGCGTGATCTCGACTCACTGCAACCTCCCCCTCCTGGGTCCCGGTTCAAGCACATTCTCGTGCCTCAGCCTCCCGAGTAGCTGGGATGACAGGCATCGTGCCACCATGCCCAGCTAATTTTTGTATTTTTAGTAGAGATGGGGTTTGAACTCCTGACATCCGTGATCCTCCCACCTCGGCCTCCCAAAGTGGTGGGATTACAGGTGTGAGCCACCACACCTGGCCAGGATTTCTTTCCTAAGAAAATAGAAAACCAAATATATATATAGAGAGAGAGACAGTGTGTGTGTATGTGTGTGTATACACACACTATGTATCTATACACACACACACACACACACACACTTTTATGCTGACTATAAAAATTTCCGGCCAGACGTGGTGGCTCACGCCTGTAATCCCACCACTTTGGGAGGCTGAGGGGGGCAGATCACCTGAGGTCAGGAGACCAGCAACATGGCTGAACAGGATCTCTACTAAGAATACAAAAATTAGCCAAGTGTGGTGCACTGCATGCACCTGTAATCCCAGCTACTTGGGAGGCTGAGACAGGAGAATCGCTTGAACCCAAGAGGCGGAGGTTGCAGTGAGCTGAGATCGTGCCACTGCACTCCACCCTGGGTGGCAGAGCAAAAAAAAAAAAAAAATTCAATTTTTTTTCAGAAAAGTAGTAGTATTTGATTTTCAATTAACATAGCTCACATCCAAATAAACAAATTCATTAATAGTGCATTCCTTCATTGGCACTCTTCTAGTAACCTTTTAAAACGATTCTATGTTATATTATTTTACTGTTTAAGTTTGCTCTAGAATTTATTGCATTCACACAAATAAATGTTCTCTTTTTCAGATTTCTCTCCTCCCTGTAGAAATAAAACCATGTTTTTTCTGCACCAATATGTTAGATATATTTATTCCAAATCGTATAATATGTAGTTATATACATACATAAGTATATATTTTTTTCTTGGTGCAAATATATTTTTTTCTTGGTGCAAAGTCATTGTTTCCTTGAACCTAAAAGCCATAAAAGTTGGCCGGGTGCGGTGGCTCACACCTGTAATCCCAGCACTTTGGAAGGCTGAGGCGGGCGGATCACGAGGTCAGGAGATCGAGACCATCCTGGCTAACATGGTAAGGCCTTATATCTACTAAAAATACAAAAAACTAGCCGGGTACCAGTAGTGCCAGATACTCGGGAGGCTGAGGCAGCAGAATGGCGTGAACCCAGGAGGCAGAGCTTGCAGTGAGTGGAGATTGCACCATTGCACTCTAGCCTGGGCGACAGAGTGAGACTCTATCTCAAAAAAAAAAAGCCATAAAGGTACACATGGCACAAACACACACAGTGATAGTCTGGAGGTTTGGAGATGAGCTACCAACTCGATTTTTCAAAACATTTTCTTACATTGAGGTGTACTTCAATACCATTCATCTTCCCACAATCTCCCCCTTTAATCATTTGGGGAAAATATGAGCCTTTGAGAATGTAAAACCCCTATTTCATGGACAATTTTCTTTGTGTGCTTTGTCTTCTGACCATATTCTCTGTTTATAACTCTGTCAGTTGATAGCAATCAGTATTTAGGATACATTAACAGCATGGCAGAACCAATAATTTTTTTTTTTTTTTTTTTTTTTGCAGTTGAATCGGAAATTTATGCTTTTAATTGTGTTTTCACAGAAAACTTGAGGTTTTGTGTTTTGGGGGTTTTGGTTGTTCCTTAAAAGAAGAGGGTGGATTTTTTAGAGCAAGAGTTACTTTTGTTTTCACAAAAGACACAAATCTTATTTCATTGCTTTGTTTTTCCCCCAGGAGTTAGGTTAAAGGTTATCTTCCTAAAAACTTCAGGCTGGTCATTTGGCTCTGTGCTAAGTAAATAATTTTGTTCTGAGGTCTTAACTTAGTTTAGGTAAACCCAGCAGCAGTTAGGGCTGTGGTGTTTTCATGTGCATAAACTGCACCTCAGAGGAAGTTAATGCGTAGTATTGCTAGAATCTGTGGAAAATTTGACTTTTTACTTCTCTATATGTACAACGTGCTTGTTGGGCCATTTGGCTGAAAACACATCAGCAGTGTTCAAAATAGAAATATGTATATCTAATTATGTGCATAAACAATAAGCCAAGATTGCAACATCTGGTCCTTTTGTGCAATCATGAATACCTGGCTTTAGGCTTCCCAGCATGGGGGATTGCTTTGGTCAAGGGCACAGTGACACTCCCAGGGTTCAGATAACAGGGGTGTGAAAGGAGATGCAAACAGGCCTGTTCATTCCAGTCATTGGGGACTCCAGAGGCTGATTTTCTAGTTCATGGTTTTTTTCTTGTTGTTGTTGTTTTTCTTCCTATCTTTACTACAATGAACTTCTGTATTTTTTCATTGCTTGTCTTTCTAAACCAACTTGGTATTGAGCGGGTGGTGTAGTGACCCTTTCATATTATAATTCTTTGTTTTCTGGAGTTATTTATGTTTCTTGTCAATGTTTACCTCCTGCCTCTAATTATTCCTTTGCAGGATCATGCATTTATAAGGCTGGACAGGAGTTTGAGGGGCTACCTTGGGAAAAGGAACTGAACATGTGTGGAGCAGCTACCATGAGTTGGACTCTTTCACCCACTCTCTGGGCGAACTCCCAGCCCTCAAGTCTTTGGACTTGGAGAATCTGTAGCTAGGAAGAAACACAATCACAGTCCAACCCATTCTTCGGTTATATTCAAGAGGCCAAGCGAGGTGAAATCATTTACCCAAGTTTCTATACCTTCTTTGCTGGTGCTAAGTGAAGGTGGGGAGAGAAACCAGAAACTAAAATCATCATAAGAATAATAAAGACAAACTGTTCCTCTGAGAGAACAAATGTTTTTCTAATCGCAGACACATTTCTTTAGCTACTATATAAGTCTAATACTGTTTTACCTCTCAATAGACATTTGACAGTTGTTCTCCCATACATGTCCATGCATGATGTCTCGTCAAATATCCACATAGAATCTGCCACAGCGCTGTATTCCCACACCCCAACACACACACATAGCCCAGTGTGTTTGGTATTAGAATTCTCCAAACTGTGGGCTAAGGACATTGTTTGGAATGATCCGGATTCCAGTCGGTGTTCTGCCCACTAGACGAGGTTGCTCTGAGACAGTGTGGGAGGTGACCCGAATATCAGACAGTGTGAAAGCCACTCACGTCTGGCCTCTGCTGAGTGAGCCAGAGGAAGCTGCTTAAGTGAGTGGGAAGAAATAATGAATTGCTTGCAGGAAAGTATGTGAGAATCTACTGAACAAGACTCGGTGCTAATCAACACAGGGACTCTGGCACTGTTTTAAAACAGATGCTTCCAGACTCTTAGAAGAAGGAGGGAGGACAGAACGTTTTAAATTTCTTTCAAGCCCTTCTCTTTTCTAAACAATGAAATAAAAAAAAATAAAAAATAAAAGAATGTGGGTAAAATAGCTTCACCCACATGATACCATAGACATAGCAATACTGTATTTCCTAGTGTTATTTTGGATTAATAAACTCCCTTCTACTGTAGATTGTTTACAATTTTGTCCTCATTTTTTCCTAAACTATCCATAAAATTTCCATTTCTCTTAATTCAAGATTCAACTGTTCTAGAAGAATTTCTCCAACATTTCAAGTTGTCTTTTGATCTGTCACTGTCTCCCGTCACCCCCAGATGGGACCATCTAGTTGCAGGAAAACAAGCTCAGGGCTCCCACCTATTCTACATTATGGTGAGTTGTGAAATTGTTTAATTATTTATTACAATGTAATAATAATAGAAATAAAATGCAAAATAAATGTTATATGCTCAAATCATCCCGAAACCATCCCCCACCCCTGGATGGAAAAAATGTCTTCCACAAAACCAGTCCCTGACGCCAAAAAGTTTGCAGACTGCTGCTCTAAGTAATTTGTGCCCTATATTACCTGATAATAAATTTTTATTTTTTCATTAAGTAAAAATCTAGAGATAAATATTCTTCCTCTTTAGGACATAGTTCTGTGAGTTTGGACAAATGCATACAGTCATGTGATCATCAAAAAATGAAGATTAACAATAGTTTATCAACAAAAAATCCCTCATGTTGCTTTAAAGTCAACTCTTCCCTGGCAACCACTGATCTTTTCTCTGTACTTATGGTTTTGCATATTTCAAAACTGAATTATATAATATGTGGTCTTTTGAATCTGACATACTTCACTTACAGTAATCACTTCATTTACCTGGATTCATCCATGCTGTGGCTTGTATTAGTAGTTTATTCCTTTTGTTGCTGAATTCTATTGTATGTATGTATCACAGCTTATCCAGTCATGAGCTGATGCGTGACTGAGTGGTTTCCAGTTTTTGTGGATTCTGAATAAAGCCACTTTAAAGATTTGCATACGGGTATTTGTGTTAACATAAGTTTTTATTTTAGTTGGAATGATACCTAGGAGGAAGGTTGCTGGGTCATATGATAATTATATGTTTAGCTTTCTGAGAGCTTCCCAATTATTTTCTGAAGTTGCTGTATCATTTTGCATTTTTACCAGAAATGTATGTCTCCAATGTCTCCAAATCCTAACTGGTATTTGGTAATTTTTTAGTTTATCTTTTTGAATTATTTTATGATTTTAGATTTTCCATTTAAATTATAATTCACTTTGAATTTTTTTAACTTAAAAAATGCAATGCATCAAAGTATTTGCTTGTTTTGCATATAAATTTTCAATTATTCTAGCATTATTTGTTAAAAACATTTCTCCATTTAATAGTCTTTTACCTTTGTCACAAGTCAATTGACCATAGATGTGTGTTTTTCCGTACATTCTATTCCAGGAGCAACAAGCTATTTTTTTTTCCTTTTGTAAAAGGTCCAGAAAATAAATATTTTAGGCTTTGTGTACCACATAATGTTTGTTGTAGCTACTTAATTCTCTTTACCACAAAAGCAGCTATAGACAATATATAAATGAATAAGTGCAGCTGTGTTACTAGGCTGAATTTGGCCCCAGGAGTTATGGTTTGCTGATCCCTGCTCTATTATATTCCATTTATTTATATGTCCACTCTTACGCTAATATCATGCCATATTGATTGGTGTACTTTTGTAATAAGTCTTGAGATTAGGTAGAACAAATCCTCCAACTTTGTTATAATTTTTTTTGACTATTTACCTTTCTACATAAATTTTACACACAGCCTGTTGATTTCTACAACAAATCCTGCTGAGATTTTAATTGGAATTGTGTTGAATCTACAAATCAATTTAGAGACAATTGTTATTTCATCAAATTTGAGTTTGAATTCTTCCAACTATAAGCATGGTATATCTCTCTTTTTAAATTTTTTTTCATCTTTATTGATTTCTTTCACTAGTGTTTTATGGTTTTCAGTGCATATACTTTGAACATATTTTGTTAGATCTATACCTAATTTTTTTGTGTGTAATTTAAAATTTTCCATTTTCAGTTGTTCATTGCTAGCAGATATAACTGTGATTTAGATTTGCATATTGACCCTATTTCACGTGACCTGGTAAGTTTGTACAATAGTTCGCATAGCTTGTTTATAGATTTTTTTAGAATGTTCTACATAATTATGTCATCTGAAAATTAAGTTTTAATCTTATTTATTCTACATTCATTTTATTAGTTTTTTTGTTTATTTGCTTGTTTTGCTTTGTTTTGTTGTTTGAGACGGAGTCTCGCTGTGTCACCCAGGCTGAAATGCAGTGGCACGATCTTGGTTCATTGCAAGCTCTGCCTCCTGGGTTCACGCCATTCTCCTGCCACAGCCTTCCAAGTAGCGGGGACTACAGGCACCTGCCACCATGCCCGGCTAATTTTTTGTGTTTTTAGTAGAGACAGGGTTTCACCATGTTAGCCAGTATGGTGTCAATCTCCTGACCTCGTGATCCATCCACCTCGGCCTCCCAAAGTGCTAGGATTACAGGCGTGAGCCACCATGCCCGGCTCATTTTATTAGTTTTTTTTTTATTGCACTGGCTAAGACCTTCAATATGATGTTAATGGGAGTAGTAAGAGTGCACAGCTTTATCTTCTTAATATTAGGAAGAAAGAATTCAGTCTTCCACCATTAAGTATGATGTTAGCTATAATTATTTTTTTTTTGTAGATTCATTTCTTCTTAAGGAAGTATTCTTCTATTTCCAGATTGTTAAGAGTTTTTATCGTGGATAGATGCTGAACTCTGTCAAATATTTTTTTCTGTATCTGTGTGGATGCTCACATGTTTTCCCTTCTTCATTAGGTAGATAAGATGAATGACATCAATTTTTAATGTGGAACTAGTCTTTTATTTCCTGGATAAACCCTGCTTGGAATAATGTATTATCCTTTTTCATGTTGCTAGGTTTGACAAACTAGGATGTTGTTGAAGATTTTTGTTGATTGTCTAAATCTCATTTCGTTGTCCTAGTCAGATAGAAAGGCTTTCTTTCCCATTCTCCCTTCCAGTTATTTTGGGACCATGTGATTATTTCTGGCCAATTAGATGGAAGGATGAATGCTCTTTCAAAGTTGAAGCATGAGTTTTCTTTCCTTCTTTCATCTTCTCCCAGAGTGATTATGTTGGTAATGTGAAGCCTGAAGATGGAAACAGACTCAATTCTTGAGTTACTACTCAGAAGAGAGCTTCCCTGGAGAACGCTCCGACAAGCAACACGGTTGGAGGTGAATGGATAAGATATCTTGTTTATTAAGTCACTGAGATGATGGAATTAATTTGTTAACAGGGATTAGTTAAATTAGCTAAATTAATTAAATTATACTATCTCATTAGGTAAAGATGTAGGATTTCAATAGGTTATGTAAAACAAAAATAAAATAGATTCAAGATGATTGTTACTTGAAGTTAAGCAACTCAGTTCAAGGCTACACATTTGTTATTCAGAATTGAGGCCAAATTCAAACTAAAACTAAATGTTTAAGGAAAAAAATCCTGATGAATCACTACCTTCCAAGACTTAGTCAAGAACAAAAGTGAGTATTCAGTCATTTTAAATAGAATTTTTTTCCTACAATAACAAATCCTAGAGCAGTTGGTTCCTTTCCAAGTCATAGGAATACAGAATTAAGATTTCCAGCATGAGTATTCAGTACAGAGGTTTGACTAGCTAACTCTTGCCAGATCTAAAAGCAACCAGTGAGCACCTCTGATATCAGGCAAGGCCAGATAAGCAAAATGAAATCTCTCAAAACAATTTACCTATGAGTCAGTTACTGATCACACTTTAACAGCCAGAAGGAACAATAGGCAGTTAGTTGCTCTGTAATGGCTTTATCTCTCTGCCCTAAGTGATTTTTTCTTTTTTTTTTACTTACACCAATCACATTTAGCCACTGAATGCTTTATAAAAAAGCAGATAGATGAGTAAGTTGAACAGTGCCAATAGTCTTAAATCATAGATTATTTTACACGAAGAAAATGGGAACTGGCTGAGTGAGGTGGCTCACACCTCTAATCCCAGGACTTTCAGAGACCGAGGTGGGTGGATCACTTGAAGTCTGGAGTTTGAGACAGCCTGGCCAACATGGTGAAACCCTGTCTCTACTAACTGCACAAAAATTAGCCAGGCATAGTGCCATGTGCCTGTAAATCCAGCTACTTGGGAGGCTGAGGCAGGAGAATTGCTCGAACCTGGGAGGCAGAGGTTGCAGTGAGCAGAGATCATGTCACTGCACTCCACCCTGGGCAACAGAGGGAGACTCTGTCTTAAAAAAAAAAAAAGAAAAAAAAAAGGAGGGCTAATGATAGTCTTTTAAAAAGAGTTACATGCATTAAATTACAGGGAAATGTCCCAGTTTGCTAGTGAATATTTTTCTTAGCATACTTTTAAAAATGTGGATATAACATGGAAATTATAAAAATCCTAAAACGTACCATTTCATATAACATATGAAATTTACATTGCCATACAATATTTATCAATGTATCTTACTAAATTCCTAAAGAATAAATTCAGTTGTTATCCTTCTATCTAAAGTTTTTTTTAAAATAACCACTAAAGCATTAATACAAGGAAAATTTTTGACAATGCTATTCATTTTATTTCATCTTTCAATAGATGGGGATTCTACATGTAATCAAATTGGCACTTGGGGCCTAGGAATAATGGAAATTTTCAAATGGACTTGGAGGTTGCCATGTAGGACTTACTCCAATAGCAGTTCCATTTGGACATGGAGAATATATAAGTATTTGCAGGAATGGGCTGGGTGTGGTGGCTCATGCCTGTAATCCCAGCACTTTGGGAGGCCGAGGCGGGGGGATCACCTGAGATTGGGAGTTCAAGACCAGCCTGACAAACATGGAGAAATCCTGTCTCTACTAAAAATAGAAAAACAAAATTAGCTGGGCATGGTGGCACATGCCTGTAATCCCGGCTATTCAGGAAGCTTGAGGCAGGAGAATTATTTGAACCCAGGAGGCAGAGGTTGTGGTGAGCGGAGATTGTGCCATGTTGGGAATTGGCCCCCAAAATCTGGCCATAAACTGGCCCCAAAACTGGCCATAAACAAAATCTCTGAAGCACTGTGACATGTTTATGATGGTCATGATGCCCACGCTGGAAGGTTGTGGGTTTACTTGAATGACAGCAAAGAACACCTGGCCCACCCAGGGTGGGAAAACCGCTTAAAGGTGTTCTTAAACCACAAACAATAGCATAAGCATCTGTGCCTTAAGGACATGCTCCTGCTGCAGATAACTAACAAGAACCATTCCTTTATTTCAGCCAATCCCTTTGTTTCCGGTAAGGAATACTTTTAGTTCATCTATAATCTATAGAAATAATGCTTATCACTGGCTTGCTGTCAGTAAATACGTGGGTAAATCTCTGTTCGAGGGTCTTAGCTCTGAAGGCTGTGAGACCCCAGGTTCCCACTCCACACCTCTATATTTCTGTGTGTATGTCTTTAATTCCTCTAGTGCCGCTGGGTTAGGGTCCCCCCGACCAAGCTGGTCTCAGCAGCGCCATTGCACTCCAGCCTGGGCAATAAGAGGGAAACTTTCTCAAAAAAAAAAAAAAAGTATTTGCAGGAATCAACCGTGCAGTTTCTAAGGTAATCAGTGTCATAAGCACTGTTCTTAGCTGCATGCACCATTTGGGAATACATAAGCAGATGTTGAACTGGTATTTCTTCAAGGCTGTAAATCTCAGTAGCAGGAGTCAAGCTCAGTCCCCAGAAAGAGGGGGCCTGTGATTACCCCCCATACATTTTCCAGATGTTTCCCCTTGCCTGTCATTATCACCTGATCCTGCCAGATTATATTTCTCTTTACTATTTTTTTAGTTTCTTTTAATTAGAAAAACTGTCTCCTCAAGTTTAGACATTTATAAAGTATCTTCAAACTATTCTTTTTATAAAACAGAGTCTAAAATGCAAAGTTATGAAAAGTCTAAAGGGCTAGTGAGATTTAGATTGCAGAGGAGTATGTCTGTTCTTCCCTTCCCTCTCTTTGCACCCAAGAGGAAAATTTCACAAAATCCTATGTATTTGAGATTGCTATGGATATCAAAAAAGAGCATGGATTTAAGCCAATTGAAAAATGCTTCTAGAGGTTCCTAAGATTAAAAGGGAGCGATCAGAGTTCTGTCAGGCTTTTGTTAGTGCTTATCTCCTAGTCTTTGCATTTTGTCCTTCTCCTTCCCCTCTTCTTTCTTCTACTTTTGCCAACTAATCCAAATTTGGATTCAATGAGTTTATCAATCTCATATGATATTGAGGTGTGATTGTATTAGTTCATTTTCACACTGCTATAAAGACATACCTGAGACTGGGTAATTTATAAAGAAAAGAGGTTTAATTGGCTCACAGTTCCACAGGGCTGGGGAGGTCCCAGGAAACTTACAATCATGGCAGAAGGGGAAGCAAACATGTCCTTCTTCACAAGCCAGCAGGAGAGAGAAGTGCAGAGTGAAGGGGGAAAGCCTTTTATAAAATCATCAGATCTTGTGAGTATTCACTCACTATCACAAGAAGAGCATGGGGGAATTGCCCCCATGATCCAGTCACCTCCCACAAGGTCCTTCCTCCAATACATGAGGATTAAAGTTCAGATTATAATTCAAGATGAGAGCCACATTGATTAAAGGCAAGTTAATCCTATAGTATTCTGCAATCTTCAAAAAAAGCGTTTGCTAATCCAAATAAATAATGGCCTTTCAAGAAATATGTTATTTTATTTTATTTTATTTTTATTTTATTTTATTTTATTTTATTTTTGAGATGGAGTCTTGCACTGTTACCCAGACGGGAATGCAGTGGTGTGATCCCAGCTCACTGCAAGTTCCACCTCCTGGGTTCACGCCATTCTCCTGCTTCAGCCTCCCGAATAGCTGGGACTACAGGCACCTGCCACCATGCCCAGCTAATTTTTTGTACTTTTAGTAGAGACGGGGTTTCACTGTGCTAGCCAGGATGGTCTTGATCTCCTGACCTCATGATCCGCCCACCTCGGCCTCCCAGAGTGCTGGGATTACAGGCGTAAGCGACTGTGCCGAGCCAAGAAAGATATTTTTAAAGAAACAGACTTTCTGATGCTTGCATTCACTACAAAATCCCAGCCTCCACTACCATTAGGAAGAATATATATATATATATATACACACACACACACGTATATGTGTGTGTGTGTCAACATTTCTCAGTAGAGGCAGAACACAATTCAGCCACTATTTTTATAAAGGTAAATACAATCTACAAAACTTAGTAAAACAAAAAAGTAGTCAACACCATATTAGGAAGTTCTATGGCTGTAGCAGACACAAAGAAAGTTCCAAATCACAAGGGTGAGTTGGTAATAATGACATCACCTGTACCTCCCATATACCACCCTACCCTAATGCTATACTTCCCAACTAATGCTGCTACTATAACTGTGGCTACTACTACCACTGCAACAATTATTGTCATTAGTTGTGCCTTAACATTGTACAATTCTTTATAATTTTTTTTTAATGCTTGAATACTTTAATATCAAGTTATTTTTAAGCAATAGGGAACTAAGTCTCCGAGACTTGTAGAATGAAAACCCTTTCCCGGTCGGGCGTGTCTCTTGGTGAAATCTTAGTTTGAGCATTAATTTTGATCTCCATTGTGTTTATGATATCAAACTGGCAGAAACCTGAACAGCTGACACATGTTTTACACAAGCCCTGGAATTGGCTGCACTGACTTGTCTTGGTGAGGGTAATTTTTTTTTTTTTTTTTTTTTGAGATGTTGTCTCTCTTTGTTGTCCAGGCTGGAGTGCAGTGGCGTGATCTTGGCTCACTGCAACCTCCGCCTCCTGGGTTCATGCCATTCTCCTGCCTCAGCCTTCCTAGTAGCTGGGACTACAGGCGCCCACCACCAAGTCCAGCTAATTTTTTTGTATTTTTAGTAGAGACGGGATTTCACCGTGTTAGCCAGGATGGTCTTGATATCCTGACCTCGTGATCCACCCGCTTCAGCCTCCCAAAGTGCTGGGATTACAGGCGTGAGCCACAACGTCTGACCGATGAGGAGAATTCTAAGTGCAAGGCCAGCTAAGAACGAGTGTAATTGAACCAATCCACTCTAATACCAGGCTATTACACCCATAGAACACTCTTGATCTGTCTATGGCCAAACTTCTCAAAACTTTATAAAACAGTGTCTAAAATACAAAGTTATGCAAAGTCTA